AGTCTTTGAAAGGATTGTCGCGAGCAACTGTCGTTCCCTCCTTTGCAGAAATGCACGACTACTCTGAGGATGCTTCATTAGGTACCACCGTAGATGTCGTTGGTGAGATGGTCCAGATGAGGGAGAGCACATGTCTTGATGTCACTGTCAAGTTTGCCCGAGCCGTGGTAAAGGTGTTTGGAGCAGAGTACTTGAGAGAACCAACTGTCAAAGATACAGAGAGGTTGATGGAAATTGGAGCTACAAGAGGTTTTCCAGGTATGGTAGTTCAGTTGATTACATACATTGGTAATAGAAGATCCGCCCCAAAGTTTTGCGCGGGATGTAACAAGCTCACACCAAAGAGACCACCATCATACTCGAAGCAGTGGCATCAAGGCGCTTCTGGATTTTGTCATGCTTTCTTTGGCATGTCTGGTTCTCACAACGACATTAATGTGTTCCAGGGATCTCCGGTGTTCAAGAGACTTTGTGATGGGGATGCTCCGCCATACAACTATACTACACAACTACTACATGGGATACTACCTTGTCAATGGTATCTATCCTCAATGGGCTACTTGTCAAGACCATATATATCCGATCCCCATGGCAACAAACAATGCCACTTTGTAACAATGTAAGAAGCGGCTAGGATGGATGTGGAAAGAGCATTCAGAGTGCTCCAAGCTTGTTGGGGTACTGTTCGTGGAGTTGCAATGATGTGAGAATCCGAGACATGGTGGCACTGATGACATGTTGTTCATTTTGCACAACATGATTGTATGATGAGGGTGAAGCCCGAAGTAAAAGACCACCTCCTGGAACAAAATGCCGAGCATATTGTGAACTTTCTAGAAATGCTTTGTAATCTTCGAGATCAGAACATGCACATGCAACTACTCGATGTTCTTGTGGAGCATACATGGACCCACAATGACACCAAGGAATTTAATAATTGAATCGTGCACTCGGAATAATATTTATGTTTGAACTATTTATTTTTTTGTTAGATTTTTTTATTTGTGTATGATCTGCGTGTATGCGTTTGTATGAATTTAAGAATTTAAAAGTGAGAGACTGATTGCAAGGAGGATAACTGAAGGGTCGCCTAACGTTGTTCGAAGTCGTGTCCGGGCACATCCGTGGACGCTTAGGGACCGAATTTGGCAGTCTGACTGTAGATGCTTCCTAGTTCTCTATTTTTTTATTTTTTTTTTTTGCGGATGAGATGCTTCCTATTCCATGCTGACTGATCGTTCAAGACTTGACCAGATGGGGCAGGCCGACATGCAGCTCAAGATCAGGTGCATGCGGGGGCGCGTGTAATGCACGAGGCTACCTGGCATGTCGATCGAGTGACCGATCATGTGTTTGCTTTTGATTTGCTTCGTGCCTTCTCTTTTCTCGATAGCGATGCAGATCAGACGTCTGATCGGTACTTATTAGCACAATTCTCCTTTCTAGTTCTCGGCAAAGCACCACAGCACACACGCACATATGCTTTTGTAACCGCGTGCCAGCTCAGGGGTGTGCCGGAGCGACCAGGTGAGGAGGATGTACGCGAGAATTACTGCACTCCAAGCAGTGCGGCGCATGGTCGTCAAACTAAAGATGATTAGTTTAGTCCGCTTGTGCGTCGGAAAGTCGATCCATCGAACGCTACAAGTACGATTGCAATCAGGGGATGAACTGACACATGTGGCATATCCAGTGACCCAAGACGCGCTCTTCTGGAAAACCTACGACGTTTACGTCTCGCAAAGTAACTTTCGGTCCATTCGGTTTGCGGTAAATCCCGCTTTCCTTTTTACCGATAGCTATTTTTTAGCTTTGCCAATGTTCTTACGATATCTCTTAAATTTAGCCATAACACGCCTCTCGGTCTATGCATATTCATATACATACAAGTTTTTTTTTATGCTAGATACACACAACTCTTTTAAGAAGGGTCTGTCGCTCAAACGTCCATATTGATAAGATCAAACCAAAAGGTCAATTGTGGGGCTATCACCCCTAAAGGCAGAGCCAACACCTCCAACAGGAGGAAGATGCATGTATGTTGACATTCTCGGATCCGGCCAAAGAAGATGATCAAGGGTTTTCACCTCGGAGAAAACTCATACTCGTCATTGGTTCACCAATGCACTTGTCGACCATCTCTACCGGTTTGTTGTGGAGTAAGTCGGCTCCCCGTGTGTCCATCGACGCTCTTTGGACTCCACACGAGCCATCGCGGTCGCATGAGAAATTCGTCAGAGCCATCATGGTGTAGTTGCCGCCCACTGAGATAGCAACATCGCGTCACATGCCAGCTCACTCGCAATCGCATACTGATTGTTGCGCATCCCATCCACTACCCTTGTGGTTGTTGTGCCCATAGGCACCACATCCATCACACATGGACTCAAGGTATTTGATTTCAAAGGGTACCCCTGATACAGTTGTTGTCATGTGCCTGTAGTTTTTTTGGTTTTTGCATAATAAATCAGGTGTACATGTTCTTGATATTTACTTCTTTTTACTTGTCGATTTCTCGCATGCTCTTCTCCATCCTCAGCAAGTACACTCTTTGTCCAGATAAATATGGTATGTTTTGCTGTGTTAATACGAATCTTGATCAAGAATTACTCTACTACTACTACTATGTAGTTTATATATGACACAAACGGATTCATATTCAAAGTACCAGCTTATGATTTGGAATTTGTATTACAAAAATCACTTACCAATAGATTAGCTATCGGTTAAAGTCTTGCATTAGCCAGAAAACAAGCCTTATATATCCTTGGCCAGGAAGGTTTCTACCCAACATGGGCAGCAAACATAATCTTTGAATCAATCCACCTCCTCCTTCTACATAGGCAAAATGTCCGTTCCATAGGACTTTACTGCTGGCGATATGTCGTTTTGTTTATTTATTTATTTTTGTCAAACTTGTTCCTGTTGATTGTGTGCATCCTAATTATGCCAAGTCTGAGTGTCGCTCAATATGATGTATCCGCTTGATGCTACATTTTAAGTTGATAAAAGCGCTCTTTATCAAAAGAAAAAAAAATCAGATTGAGGAAGTATACGAAAACTGTGGGTATTGTTCGTGCATATGTTAAGTTTTGTTGCCCGCACTTGCTTTAAGTGAAGCTGGTGGGGCATGCACGCGTGGATTACGTGTGTGTTTGCCTATATCTTGATGGATCTTTTTAATCAAAAGAAAAAAGTATGTTTTTGGTCCCTTAAGTTCCCACAAAGTATAGACTTGGTCCCTCAAGATTTTTTTGATATACATTTGGTCCCTCAAATCTCAAAACCGGATAAGTTTGGTCCTAAACTAGATTTTGAGCACGTTGACCGGTTTTGACCGCCACAAATCCGCCCGATGAACAGTAAATTCGAAAAAAGAAAATAAAACAAACCTTAAATTTTTTGGGGTCGAATATGCTTACATGCGCAATATGCAAACAAAATTTCGAGCTCTTTCGGCACTCGAGGAGCTCGTGGCAAAAGAAAAAAAAATCTGGCTGATGAATAGTAAATTCGAAAATAATCAAAAAATTCTGAAAAATTTTGGGGTCCAATATGCTTACGTGCGCAAGGTGCGACCAAAATTTTGTCATGAAATGACATTGAATGGGCTCTAGCAAAATTTTGTCATTTTTCAAAGTTCTTTTTCATATTTACTGTTTATCACGCGGTTTTGTGGCGGTCAAACCCGGTCAACGTGCTCAAAATCTGGTTTAGGACCAAATTTATCCGGTTGTGATACTTGAGGGACCAAATGCATACCAAAAAAATCTTAAGGGACCAAGTCTATACTTTGTGGGAACTCGAGGGACCAAAAACATAATTTTCTCTAATCAAAATACAAAGTCGTAAATGTGTATACACACGTATCACCAGATGTGCACACTCGCACATCGAGAATACTGGAGTCGCGGAGCTTTAAAATTATCAAAGTAATCAAGGATGCCTTGCTATTGACAGGTACATCATCTTTTACTTGAAAAATCTAACTTCTTACGTTACAAGATGTGCCTGAAGCGGGCACTGCGATCGAAAAGGGACGGTTACAATTATTATTTTTGAAGAAAGAACAATTCTAGGAGGCAATGCAGTTTATGGTCTTGTGAAATGCAATATTTTCAACTCACTCTGTAGAATTTCATTCTATATATGTGACCTTCTTCCATTGAAAGATTCCTCGATTCGTGTAAATAAAATTATGAGGGCCCCATGGTATTCGTATATGATGTAACAGGCTTAACGCACAAAATTCACCTCTCTTCAAAATTCATGGGAGAACTCGTTTGTATCAAACATTTGCTGAATTCTAACAAAGAAACCAAGAAACATAGTTTTACAGTTTCGACTCACTGCACTGATTGTAGTCGTTGCTACATGGTCTACGTAACTGAATGTGATTTATGCTACTTCTGGTGTTCTTTGTATTGCTATGACAGGTACGCTGATGAATGAGTCGAAGTTTTTTTAAAGAAAAAAAACTATGGTTGATTCTTCCAAATCATGAGGCCGACATAGCCCGATACACGCACCCAGCGCTTTCCGTAAGCAGCACGCAGTAACTTATCTTAAAAGAGTGAGAGTGAGAGAGAGAGACAGAAGAGAAGGAAAAATTACCGTGGGCATTTTGGGGAATCTCCGCAAGCAGGGTAGTGGAGCTGGAATTCCCCTGACAGTGACGCAGAGAATTTCTTGCTATCGATCGATCCTCTGCCCCATATATACGCGGCAGCGGCTCACTCGTCCCATGCCATCGCTCGCTGGGCGACAGCATCGGAGGAAAGAAAGGTTGCCTCTCCCCCGCCTTGGATTTGATAGCCGCTAGCTGATTAAGCGTAACACGCTCTGTCCCTACCAGCAGCTAGCACAAAAAAATATCTCCAAGAAAAGAGCTGAAATCGCAGCAGCAGCGGCAACGTGCTCAGCTTAGTTAGCAGTAGCAGTGCTATCTCTTTCAGCTAAGTGGGAGAGCTCGCTCGCTAGCTGAGGAGTGCGCGCCATTAATGGCGGAAGCGGAAGGGCAGCTCGCGGCCTGCTGGGGGAAGCAGGACGACGAGTGGAGGAAAGGCCCGTGGACAACCCAGGAGGACAAGCTGCTCCTCGACCATGTCGCCCAGCACGGCGAAGGGAGGTGGAACTCCGTCTCCAAGCTCACAGGTACGGCCCGTAGAGTACTAATCGTACTCCTAATTAATTAACTCGAGGTTCCTGGATGAACAGATTACTACTAGTACTAAGAGTATTTTTCTTGTCCTGCTCTTGATCTGATGTTTTCTAGCTTGCTCTAATGCTTTATGTTCTTCCTTGACTTTTGTCGCTGCAAGTACGGACCTCCTTTTCCAATTAACCCGGCCGGCTCGTCTGCAACTGGCAAGTTGCGAATGATTGATCCGGCCTGCAAGTTGCACACGGCCGTAAACAGTACCTTAGGATCTTCAAGTACCGGCAACTTGCGAGTTCACAAAGCTAGCCGGCCGCATGCATGCATGATTCGATCCTGTACTGTACGGTCTTGTGTGTGTTCGTCTCTTCTTGCTAGGACGAAGATGGTGATGAACTACCTAACGCTCTCTTTCACTCACGCATTGAAATTTCTTGGAGAATATCGTCAGTGCGTTCCTTTGATGAGATTTCAATCATCAATTCTTCAACTCTACAAGAACTAGCTTGCACGTAAGTAGAAACCTATTAGCTAGCTCTGCTTTACATACGATATACATGGAAGATGCATGCGTGCATATAGTGCTGGTCCTGATTCCTGAGCGAGCTACGTACGGGAAGTCCGGGCAAGTTCCATGGGCTACTGATTAACTATTTAATCAAGACACCCATGACCATGAGCTAGTGTACGTACACGCGTTTGTTGAGGTGAAAAATATACATACATATATGTATAAACTAAGTGTAGCATGGCCTATAATGGACGGACTATACATCCCGTCTATGTGCATCCACCTCGCAGAATTGGCAAGCCAAAGGGGAGTGTTGGACGAATAATCACCAGATAATTACTCCCTCTGTAAACTAATATAAGAGTATTTAGATCACTAAAGTAGTGATCTAAACGCTCTTATATTAGTTTACGGAGGGAGTAGTTAATTGACGTATGAAAAATATCTAGTCAGTTGGCTATGTATCAGATGGAAAGACATTAGCACTTATATATACCTAAATAGTTAGTTGGATTAGTATCAACATAGTGATGCCGACATCAACTATATATGCACAGCACTAGCGGCGTATCCAGCATCCAGGCATGCGTTGGGGTTAATCCAACCCCAATATGTGGAAATATATCTTTCTCCCTGGGCTCGAGCTTTCGGGTAAAGCCGCATGCAAAGGGATGAATTCAGTATTACTAAATGAGGCAAATGACACCAATAGACTATATAGTTCATATGGGTACGTGGCCAGGCCAGGTAATATTTTTTCCTGGACCACCCCTGCGTGGTACGTAGTATAGTATTGCACATGTGGTAATCTAATCACTTGGCCTGCCCCCGAGTACGTTTCTCATTTGAGCTTTGCATGCTGCTGCAGGTCTCAAGAGAAGTGGCAAGAGTTGCAGGCTGCGGTGGGTTAACTACCTCAGACCTGATCTAAAGAGAGGCAAGATGACACCCCAAGAGGAGAGCACCATAGTCCAGCTCCACTCCTTGTGGGGGAACAGGTAAAATATACACTGGTACTGCAGACTGATCAGCTGAAACAATAGACTTGAACGATCGAGCTGAAATTCAGTGTCACGTTTCTTCTTCAGGTGGTCGACGATTGCACGCAGCCTCCCGGGGAGGACGGACAACGAGATCAAGAACTACTGGAGGACGCACTACAAGAAGGGCAAGCCGTCCAAGAACATCGAGCGCGCCAGGGCTCGGTTCCTGATGCAGCGGCGTGAGATGCAGCAGCAGCAGCAGCAGCAGCAACAGAAGCTGCTACTTGGGCAGGGCAAGGACGCCGAGCTCGCCAGCGCCACTGCCGAGGACGACGTCGACGAGAAGATGACCGGCAACGTAGGCCCGGCAGCGACGGCGCTGGCTGACCACGGCCACGAGGAGCTGATCATGCAGGACGTCTTGGACTTCCTGTGCCCCATGTCCTGCGCCCTCCTCCACAGCGCCGGGCAGAGCGGCAGCTGCGGCGCCTCCACGAGCGAGGAGTATGGGTCGACCGAGGATGACGGCGCCACGTGGGGAAGCCTGTGGAACCTCGAAGACGTGGCCCATGACGGCGACGGTGGGGCATGCGCGCTGTGGTAGCTGGATTCCCACCGTTAGCCCTCGCGGCGAGAGAAAAAGAAGACCCCATTAAGAAGTTGCATGCTCCCTTCTGATAGCGAACGGAGGGATGCGAGAGTACATGGTGCTGAAGTGATGGATAATGATGCGGCAACAACAACAACAACTATCGTACGCCCACTTTGCAGGAGGCTCAGTTGGTGACACGTTGAAAGCTCTGCTGCACTTTCTCGAGGGGAAACTGAAGATGTGTTTTCCCTGGTTGGCACTGACGAAGCTGTCTTCCTGACCGGTGCCTACTCAGACATCAGGGACAGGGGTGTGTTGAAATTGGTTTCTGTGTTAATATTAACTGTCTGAATATAACATTATCTCTGAGTATTACGTCGGGTTATGATAATCCTGTTTGTCTAACTGTATTTTGACTATTTTATGGTCTGTTTAACCGCCTATTGTTTAACACATGTCAGGACTAGCCCTTAATGGTTTGTTTTCATAGAAGAAACACCGTGAGCACGAGCACTGAGTTCGGAACTCGAACGCTTGGTGACTTATTTTTTATATATAGAAGCAACGCCGTGAGCATGCAATGCTGAGTTCAGGACTCGAACGCTGGTGGGCAGCATGTGCACTCGCCCAGCTAGCCAACCGAGCGATGCTCGGTGCTCTAACCGGCTTTTTCAGTTTTGGCTACTTCGCATGGTTTTATTTTCGGTTTTGCTATTTTACAGTCGACTGTTTTTCAATTCGTTGTCATTCAATTTCTTGTCCGTCTGATCTCGCACTAAGATTCACGCTGAGAACTCTGATTTTCAGGCGTGGGTTCCTTTGTAGGGTGCGTTATTATTTTGGGCTAGCCCGTTAGCGCCCTCGGGGTCTCTCGGTTCCTTTTCATTTCCCCCCAATTTTTCCCTATTTCATTTTAGGTGGCATTGTTTCGATGAGGCAGAGGGGCAGAGAGGAGGCGCTTGTGCGGCGGAGGACAGGAGGCCATTCCGTCGGGTTCATGGCGTTTCCGAGCCGCCTCTCTGCTCGAATTTGATTTTCCCTTTGATTCTCGTCTCCCCCGGTTGGGTCTTCCTCTCTCTCCCTCTTTCTCGCATTCGATTTGCCCTGTCTCTGTTCGTGTAGCTTCCAGATCTAGGGCTGTCGATTTGTTGGTAGTCGTTTTTTATGCGTTGTTGTTGGTTTTGTGTGCTATGTGATTTCTATTATAGGTGCATGCTGCCGTGTTGTTGTAGTCCACCATTTTGCTCCCCTCCTGCCTGCCTAAGATGTGTGTTTTGTGTTGTTAGTCATTGGTGTAGCCACTGGTAGGTGGGTGTTCTAGGTCATCTGATGGTTGTGGTCGCTCCTCCCTGCTAATTTGTTTGTTCTACTGTAGATGAAGAGCCGTAGAGGTAGGCGATTTTGTAGTTGTAGCGCTGGATTCCCCTGTTTTCTGGTGGCCAGGGTGTCTAATCCGCATGCATTTTTTGTATGTAGATGTAGTTGTACATGGTCTGGCTTAGGATCCTGCTGGCTTATGCGATGTAGATGTAGTTTGTCATTTGTAGTTTGATTTTGGCTGACCCTTTGCTATGTAGATGTAGGTGTTATTTGTTTCATTTTCCTGCTCATGTTAGCTCTTGTAGTCCCTGAATCCCTCTTGATTTTTGTTGTCAGATGTAGGTGTTTAGTTTCCATGGTTTCATGCTAATATACCCCAAAATTTCTCTGAATTTGTGTGTACTAGGTCTGTAGTGCTGATGTAGGCCTGTAGTGTTGTTGCAGTATTAGCAAGAATCACAGTGTAATCTTATCAGAATTTGAGTGTAATGCATATGCTTCTTTATTGTTATTACAGCGCAATATACCCTAGAGTTATAGTGTAATTTAGCTCAGATCTGCACTGTAATATGCGTAAAATTGCACTGTAATTTTCCGACTCCAAATTTACAGTGTAATTTACCCCAGATTTTCACTGTTTTTATGCTTTAGGACTGTAATTGTTGCATGGTTACACTTTATTATTTAGTAGTTTTATACTGTAATTTGCATGGTTAAGTGCTGTAATTGTTGTAGGGCTTTTGGTTTTTTTGTTTTATAGATTACTTTCAGTTGCTTCATCACTGTAATTTATCAAAGATTTTCTATGTAATTTATACGCTACAAGTCTGTAATTGTTATATGTTTCATATATATTACAGTGATTTACAGCAGATTCTTGGTATTCTTCAGTTAGCTTCAGTAATGAATTGTTGTATGGCTTACACTGTATTTTACTACAGATTTACACTGTAATTTGAATGCCTCGGCACTATAATTGTTGTAGGTTTATGTCAGATGGATTACAGTGAATTTTACTGCAGATTTACACTGTAATTTCAATGCTTTAGCACTGTAATTATTGTAGGTTTATGTCAAATATATTACAGTGGATTTTACTACCGATTTACCTTGTAGTATGACATGGGTACTTAGTACTTACAGTGTAAGTTCATCAGTTTTTACAAGTGCAAATACCTGATAATAACAGTACAATTCTAGGGGATTTCCAGTGTAATTCGTGGGATATATGACTATAATTCGTGGGTGTTTACAGTGTAACTTTATGAGTAATACGATTGTAAATCCTTGTGAGTTCCTTTGTATTTTACAGTGTAAATCCACTATATGTTTTTTTCAGGGTTGTAGTGTAATTTCCATGCCTTTGCTATTGTAATTTTTGACATAAGACAGCAAAATTTTTGTATTTCTAGAGTTTTACAATCGCTAGCTATCACACATTCCGGAGTCTCCTGCTGTCTCTGGAATTTCTTTGTAACTAGTTTCTCTGATGGTTCTTTTTAAAGTTGTTTTTATCATGTAATAGGTCAAGCGTGGTGAAGGCCTGAAGGGGGTGAAGAAGTGGTGAAACTGGTGAAGGGGGTCAAGAATTGGTGAATGGCAGCTGTTCGGTGTGTTTTGTGGACCCTCCTTTTCTGTTTTTGTGAAACTGGGTTGTGGTCCAGGTTTAGTTGAATCGGGTTTATTTCCTGACCCGTTTTATTTTTGAAATAGAGCTACATACAACGTTGGTGGGGTAGGTTTTGGACATATAAGTGACATCTGCTTATTAGTCAGAAAATTTGAATGTTCTCCAATTGTAAAACAGTCAAATGCTAAATAGACACTCCCATTTATTTTTACACCAGACTATGAAGTAGGTTTAGCACAACATAATTCGACAATTCAACAATCGCAAACTGAGCATTACTCAACTACATAATCAACGCTACCAGCCTTAGAATCTTGATCACATGGCTGAAAGATCCGCATCAGCCTTTATTGCGCAAGGCCTAGAGAAAATAATCATGAAAGACTAAACTTATAGAACAAAGGCCTCATAGCTTGTCTAAGGGTCTGTTTGGATGGCAGCCGAGCGCTGCCATGCCAATATTTTGGCGTTGACCACCAGGCTAGGAGGGCGTTTGGATTGGTGCCAGCGCTTTCTTACCCTGCCAATTCTTTGGTCGCTAGTACACCTCCTCTTTACTTTTTGCGCCCATGCTTTGGCTTGGCAGCGGCGGCAGAATCGTACGCCAAAAAATTGGCACGCCCTTGATTTGGCAGGGCAGTCCTGGGCGCTAACCAAACAGCCCCTAATATCCTGATATGAGGAAGAGGAAGGAGGAGGACATGAGACGCTGACCGGCCGGCGAGGTGAGGTCAATGTTGATCTTGATGGTGAAGGCGGGTAGCTAACCAGTGATGGCAATGAATAATGAGCTTCCATCTAGGCTTGGAGAACTGCTTGATGGGGGTTTGGCGGTAGTGGTGGTTTGTCATATCTAAGCAGTTATGGTTTACGGTGGGCGGCTGGAGCAAAAAAACAAGGGGGCCAGTGTCATGGGGTTGACGGGTGCGCTAGTCACTATAGGAGGAAGGAGGAGAGGAAAGGCGAGGAAGGAAGGCGATGTGCAGCATCATGCCCTAAGGGTACAATGCAACCGAACTGAATTGCCCATATTCAAGCCTAAAATCCCACTCCTTTTTTTGTGCTTGGTCCACGAGTTGGCAATATTCTCGGTCCACTCAATATTAATAAAATCCATCTCTATTAAAATTAACTAAGGGGGCCATTATAGCTCAACCGATGTAGAAAAAGCAATGCAATTTTGTTAATCGATTCTTACAAAATTTAGTTGCATATATATTTAAAAACATATTATATATAAAAAAGATGGTATCTGTTTTCCTTTCTGAGGGAAAATGGTATCTTCGGTAGTCCATGCATGCATGCATGTGCTAGGGTCATATATGATAATGTGAACCTAGGGCATGCCATCATTCAAGAGGGAGTGACTCCACACTAATCAATGTGACTCCGATTTCTGCCGTCTTAAGTCTTCCTTAACCAATCCCATTATCACATGAATTGTCTAGTCCGTGGTAGTTATTTCAAAGTCTGATTTGGCCGACATATATAAGCATAGGCATGTTAATGGCGTATATACCGTTCAAATTTTCCGGTAGTTGGAAAAAAGCTCTGAATATAGATTCAAAGCATCAGCATAGGTAGCTCGATCATTAGTTCACGACTCATAACAATTTAAGTAGAAAGCTTGCTTTGATATTCCATAGTAGATGAAATGTGTAACCTAGCTTATATAGTTTGCAAACATCCTCTCGGGCACTTGCTCGTACCATCCCGACATCACATACTTTAGTTAGTTAAGTTAGTTTGCACATTGACTAATTGATGGAAGTATTCTAAAACACTAATTTTTTGAAGAAAAGGACATTCACATGGCAGATAAAAATGTTTTTTGTTTCATGTTTTGTTTAGTCCAGGGCTAATGCCTTTGCTTTTAGGATAGTGGTAGTCTGTGGATCTGCTTATGAATCTAGGAAGGAAGCCTTTCTCTCTCAGTTAGACTCTTTGTTTGTAGACTACTCTATCCCAACTTTGGTTGAGGTAGATTTAAATTTAGTTAGGTATAGCTCTGATAAGAAAATTGTAATGTAGATCACAAGTGGTGTGGCCCTTTTTATGCTTG